TGGGTTTTTAGGCAGACCAGGTGGCCCTGTCAGATAAACGTTGGACCCTGAACCACAGCGTTGGTGGTTCAAACCCACCAGCCACTCTGCCATCTGCACAGCCTCAGAAACATGATGGGGGGTTGTTCTGAGTCAGGGAGGAGCTCCGGTGGCTGCTTGGGTATGGGTTGGGCTGCCATCTCCAAGGGCCACCATGTGAAATGACTAGCCACTCTGTGGGAGACTAGCCACTGTGCCCATATAGAGTTGACCGTCTCAGACACCCCCAGGGGCAGGTCTACGCCTCCCTAGAGGGTCACTGTGAGTCAGAACCACCTCGATGGCCGTGGTGAGTGTGACGATACTCATGTGATGACGGACATGATGCTTCATCAAGGAGCGGTGGGGCAGCCCAAAAGAGGAAGGCTTCTGATGAGATGGCTCGAACCATTGTGAGGAAGCCACGGGACCGGGCAGTGTCTCGTCGTGTTGTGTGTAAGGGCACGAGGAGTCGGAACCGGCTCAGTGGTACCTCACAGCTGCAGCAAAGGCTGTTTCTCCATAAGATGGACCACTGTTCCTGGGAGAAATGGCTGGTCCAACCCAAACGTCTACTTTTCTGAAATATAAAATCTCTCTCTCACACACAACAACCCCACAGGGACAAAAGCACAAGGAGCTCTTCTTATGTTTGCTCTTGCTCTTTTCTCAAAGTCTAACTTGCATTCTGTGATGCTGGGTGAGCAGGTCTCAGCGGAGCTTCCAGACTAAGGTAGACTAGGAAGAGAGGTCCAGTCATTTACTGCTGACAGAGGGGCAGGACCACATGCTCTGCCACACAGGGGTCGCATGTGCTCAGAGCCTACTAAATGGCAGGTGACCACAACTCACATAAGGGAGCCCGGCTGCCCGGTTCCGCTCCACCACTTGCTTCATGTTGTCCAGGGTCCCATAGTCATATCGACTGAGCTGAAACCCAAGAGCCCAGTACGAGGGCAAGACCGGTCGACCGATCAGCTGAAAGAAAAATGTGAGAGGAGAGTTAGCAGATACTGGGTTTTTAATACGACTTTTCCTAAGCATGAGTTGTAGGGGGGGAGTGGGGGTGGGGTGGGGGTGCACAACAGAGTCTTTCTTCCCCTTTGGAAACCAGGCGTGGGCAGGGTCCAGTGTTAGCGCCTCTGGATCCTCTCACACGTGTAACATACAAGTGCTATGAAGCAGCTTCCCCACATCAAGTGGCGCCAGTTGTGTGAGTCACCAACCACCAGGCCACGTGAGATGTACTCTGGGCGATTGGGCTTTCCTGGGTGGTGAGCATGAGCTCATGTGTTTACCTCTAGATACTCTTGAACAACTTGCTCTGGAGTGCTGCCCAAGAACACGTAGAAGTCGAGAATCCCCCCGATGGTGCGGTAGGTGACTGCAGGGGCAGGCTGGAGGATGACATCTTCAAGGATTCAAAGGAAGACAGCCAGGGTTAGACTACGTGATGGAGAAACAAATACAGGCATCAAGTCTGAAAGACCATCACCACGTGGACACTAATAAAGCAGTCCTGGTGTGTTTAGGGTTTAATGAGTATAATGTGACAAACTCTGATCGCCATGGGCCACCAACATGGCACCCAAGAGTCCATGAGATCCTTCAGCAATGTACAACTAGAGCATGTTAGCTCTGTGTGCCCAGACGCAGACTCTGATAACAAATCAACCACCAACCATGTCCACAGCCCAGAACATGCTGGCCCCACTCCACCCACACCCTGTGTGTCTGCAGGCACACAGCCCCACGAGACACACAGCGGTGCTTGCGTAATCTTTGAATCCACATCATGCAAGAGTCATATTCAACAACATTTGGGGCTATAGTATGCATTCAAAATCACACTATGCCTCCACATTAAGTGGGGGGGGGGCCCCCCCGCAGGGGGCGGTTCCCGACAGTAAATAGTATGGGTTTCCTTGTAGAAGCATCTACAAGGCCTACTGAACCGTACTCCTTGGTCACAAGACCCAGCGTCAAAAGGAACCAGATTCTGAGTGTGTTCTTGTGTGTCCCCATCACCCGTCTGACACCAGGCAGTCCTTGCATCCCTCAGTCTACTCTGCCTGCTGGTAGTTAGCAACAGAGCCCGGTAGCCTTGATGAGTAAGCCCAAGGTTAACAGTTCAAGCCCAGCCGCCACTCTGTGGGAGAAAGACGAGGCTCTCTGCTCCTGTGCAGATGCACCACCTCAGAAACCCTGGCTTGGTTGCTATGAGCTGGAATAGACTCAGAGGCAATGAGTGAGTAGTAACTGGGAAATAAATGTGCAAACGCTGTTTAAGATCATCCCACCTAGTGTTTCCCAAACAAGGGGAGCTGAAGGAGCCTGTATTGTTCGTCTAATTTCCAACACAGACGCACGCTCGCACAGCATGAGATGAAAAGGGAGCTCAGAGCCAAGCTCATGTGTGCACTAGGGTGTGACGGCCACGCTCCCTCTCAGTGTCTGCCTTCATCTCACTGTGACCTGAAGCACACCGTCTGCGTCCCCCTGTGTGCTGTTCTTTCTGAGCACTCCCTGCCAGCCACCCCCGGCTGACTCACAGCGCCCCCTGTGGGTTTCTCGGACTGTAACCGCTGACGGGAGTAGAAAGCCCCCTCTTTCTCCTGTGGAGCTGCTGGTGGCTTAGAACTGTGGACCTGATGTGTAACCCCTGTGCCCTCTGGGCTCCTAATCTTCTCCAACTGGGAGGAGGAGGGAGTTTGTTCTCTGACAGCAGTCACCTGTTGTGATCCAATAGATTCCAGTGGAGAGGAAAAGGTGCCCAACAGCATAGGCCCACAGTGAACCCAGAGAAATTCTGATCTTTCTTTCTCTCTACCTCTCTCTACCTCTACCTCTCTTCACTGCCACCATCACCACCATCACCTCCACCTCTCTCTCTCCTTGCCACTGAGATCTGTAGTTACTGATGCCAAGCCGAGAACCTGTGGAGAAGGACTGATCAGAAGCGGAGACACTGGCTGCTGTTTGAACACCATGATGCTGTGCTCTTTGGTCAGAAGCAGACTGACCGTGTCCTGGGGGGCCCCGTTGCCTTTACATTTGAGTCCACCCAGAGGGTCCTCTAAAAGATGACAATAAGTATCTGAAAAGCCCACCCTGGAGAACCCTACCGAGACAGCTCCAGGGAGACCATGGCCCAGAGGCCACTCAGCAGCAGCTGGGGTGCGTGTGTGTGCATGTGTGTGCATATGTGTGCCCATGTATGTATTGTGAATGTGTTAAACGTGCATTTATGTGATTGTGTGTGAGCACATTGTGCATATACTTATGTGTGAAGATGCATTTGTGTGCATGCGTGTGTGCATGTGTGTAGGTGTGCATGTGTGTGTGGTCGTGTTTATGTGCATGTGTGTGCACGCGTGCGTACGTGGGTGTCTGTGTGCATGCACGCATGCAGTTGCTCAGTGGAGGGCAGACCCAGAAGGGAGGAGAACGAGTGGGTGGGAGCCGTCCCAGAGGAGACCAGAGCAGCGCGCTCGCTGCCCCACTCTATAATCAATACCTGCCCAGAAGCAGCAGCTGGATTTTGGAAGATCTTAAACCGGGAACGAATCCCGACTCGGGGCCCCCACAGGTCATGAGGTAACAGAGTAGAGACACAATGGATCAGAAGCAGTGCCGGCCCTCGGCTGTGGCCCTGCCAGTCTGAAAGGCTGCCACTCCCTTCACCACCGCGCTGTCCCACGTGGCCCGAAGGCCAGGCCTGTGCTTTGCTACACAAAGGTCTCTAGTCCTTTACCCATGGCGTTGCTGTTCATCAGAAACACCCCGAACGACAGGCCACTGGCATCTTCCAGGCACAGGAAGAACGTCTGGGCGCCATACAGGTTTGTTCCGTCCTGCGGAAAGATGACAAAAACACCCAAGAGTTACAGCGTAACTGTCTCAACCCCGCATTGCTGGAAGCGTCCTAATGGGGCAATGCATTAGCACCCATGACTCAACGAACAGCGGACTCCTAATCAGAATGGATACACATGCACGTAAAACAATATGGCTGTCTTTTGGGTTGGTGTCAACCGAGGGAACCGGTGCTTTCTTATGGAATGAGCCCGCTGTGGGCACACAGCTAGCAGGAATACAAGAGGTGGGATCCTGTCAGAAGGCAGGAGGGCAAGAATTCGGAATTTGTGCTCCCAAAATGCCCCTCTCTAAGAGACTTGTCTTAGCCTGAGTTAATCTTCTACAAAACCAACCAACCAACAAACTCACTACCATCAAGGGGATTCCAACTCCCAGCGCCGCTCCCTCAAGGACCGGGCAGAGTGGCCCGGGGGTTCTGAGACTGTGACTGCTTAGGGAAGTAGGAAGCTCCATCTTCCCCTGCAGAGCAGCTGTGGCTTCAAACCTCTGACCCTGGAGTCCAATTAAAACAGGATTTCCAGGAGTGGGAGCAGGCAGCGGTTCTCTAAATGATGCATCCTCGGTGTGGGGCCACACTTGAAACCCACTTCTCTAGCACAGTGCTTCTCAGACGCTGGCGTGCATACGAAACACGTGCAGATCTTAGATGCTGATTCTGACTCGGTGGATGGAGGTGGGGGCTGACCTGAGCCTGAACCTCTGACTCGGAGGCTCCCAAGCCCAGGACTCTGAATGACAAGGGTCTGGACTCCCTCCGCTTTTCCCAGATGAGTGGTTCTGAACAACACCTCCTGTGATTTCTTCCTGGCCAGCTGGCATGAAAGGGGGCCTGGGCTCTAAGCCAGACAACCAGGGTCTCTATCCCAGCTCCGTTACTTTACAGACTCCCGAATCGGGCAATCTACAGGACTTCCTTGGGCCTCAGTCCTCTTGTCTTTTACCTGGAGCTCCCCATGCTTGTCTGTTTCCCCCCCTGGCCTCTTTCAGTGAGTGGAGACATTCGACCCCATAACTTGCTGGGGGAGTTTTGTCCCACCCTCAGCGGCTCCAGCGGCTGTTTCTGCTTGTCCAGAGATGCCCCTGCATGAAGCTGAAACGCAGTCTGGAAACCCACAGGGGCCGTTCTGATCCGTCCTCTAGGGTCACTGTGGATCAGAATCGGCCCAACGGCAGAGGGTTTGGATCATGCCAGTGGCCTTGAGGGAGCGGTTTGGGAAACACCTGACCGACCGTCTTGGAAACCCGCAGGAGCCATTCTGCTCCGTCCTCTAGGACTGTTATGGGTTGGAATCAGCTCGACTGCAGCGTGTTTGGAGATTTTTGAAGCCTACATAATCCCTCTGCTTTGAGCAGTCAACGCCGCCAACAAACGAAAGGAGAAACAAAAACAAACAGGAAAAAAATCTCTCTTTTCTTGCACCGCCCCAAACATTATTCACACAAGACAGGGCGAGCACCGCCGAGACTCTATCCGATTAGCTGGACCAAATGCAAAACCCAAACGCAGTGCCGTTGAGTGACAGCAACTCTGCATAGGGGGGTCTCCGAGACGGTAAATCTTCGTGAGAGCACATAGCCTCATCTTTCCTCTGCAGAGCAGCAGCTGCCGGGTTTGAAGCACCCGCGTCATGGTGATCACCCCCATACCTAACCCACAGTGCCCCCAGCCCTGGTACATTGGTGCTTTCAGAGCACCAGCCTAAAAATGGGAGAGGACAGCCAAGGGACCAGAGCCAAGTGTGGAGATCAACACCTGCTTCCTGGACACGTTAGCAATTCATTTCCTCCTCACCACAGGCCTGCAACTTAAGAGTAACCAGAGCACCAGCCACGCCCACTGCCATCGTGGCACTTCTGACACAGAAACCCGCAGAGGATCCAGGGGCAGACAGCACAGTCTTTCTTCTGCACGGCAAGGGTCTCACTAACGGGCATTGAGTTGTTTCTGAAGCAGAGCGAGCCTACAGGACAGAGCCCAGCACCCCTTGTGAGTTTCTGAGGCTGTAAACCTTCACAGGAGAAGACAGCCTCATCTTTCTCCTGTGAAACAACTGGTGGATTCGAATTGGTGACCCTGTGGTTCTCAATCTGTCTCATCATCCACTACCCTACCAGGGATCTGTCCAGGCTGAGCCTGGGGCCCAGTTTATAAATGAGCATCACAGACTGCTAAGAGGCAGACTTAGAACTCAAGTCCAGCGGCCTGGACCTGCAGCTTCCCTCCAAACCATGGGAGACAACCCCCCAAAACAAGACCCTGGTGGTGGGTGCCCCCCAAGAGCTCACCCCATTGGGAGTTGTGTCCCTGGTAAAGATGGGCCAGGTCTTCCAGTTCATGTTGTGGCGGTACTGCTGATGCACATGCTCCCCCAGCCCGTACACATTGGCACTGGGCAGGCGGATGGAGAGCTGCAGGAACTGGTCATCAAAGACGAGGGGCCCGATGCTGGAGTCAAACCTAAACACAGGTTGGCAATAGGGTCAGGGGTGGGCATTAAGGACAAAGGTGGGCACATTGGGTGAAGGAAAAACACCTGCTCTGAGCAGTGTTCTTTACACACAGATGGCTCAGGGTAAAAACCCAAACCAGGTGTGTCTGAGAGGCCCCCAGCTCCTGGCAGCCTCCTATGTAACAATGTAAAACTTCTCTCCCTAAATCTGTCGAGAGATGATTCCCGGGAAGCAGATCACTGATCCTTCCCGTGGAGCCTTTCCACTTCTGGGTAGACTGGAAATCCCAGCCTTTTGTTAAACAGCTGAACACCCAGAAACCCCAGTGACTCCCTAAAACCCCCCAAAATCCAACCCACTAGGTCCACTCTAGCGCACACCAACCCAAGATGGGTTTCTAGGACTGAACGCTTGTGGGAGCAGATAACTCCAACTTTCTCCCAAGGAGATAGGTGAGAAAGGCATTAGAATTGTCACTGGACACGGTGCCAAGTGATAAAGACAGTGCGTTAGGGGCATTTGTTCAATAACTTTTTCCCTGTGGAGAGGTGGTGAGGGGAATGGAAAAGGAAAAATGTAAGAACCTAAGCAAGCAGGAAGAAGGAAGGAAGGAGGGTGGGAGAAAGAGAGGTGGAAAAATGACTGATGTTGAAAGGCCCCTGTACCCTTCCCACCTTGGTCCCACTCGGGTCCCAGACTCATCCTTAGAATTGCTGTTTCAAGAGCCCTATAACCTTTTCACCCGGGTCACAGGATCATCCTCAAGATGGCTGTTGACAGATGCCTGTACCTGTCCCACCTTGTTCCCAGCTGGGTCTCAGACTCATTCTCAGGATTGCTATTGAGAGAGCCCTGTGCCCCTCCCACCCGGGTCCCAGGCACAACCCCAGACTCACAGCACTCTGTTGTTACTCAGCCGGATCACCTTGATGCTGAAGGGCTGTGTGGAGACCTCTGCTCGGTAGGTCAAGGAAGCAGCGGCGTCCCCTTCAAAGGGTTTCACGTGCTCATGGGGCACTTGGTACCTGCTCTTGTCCTTGTCAGTTAACTGCCCAGAGAGAAGAGGGAGGCTAACATCAGAGGGAGTGCTTCTCCCGCCCACACCACTGTCACCCAGCACCTGTGGTCTAGGAACTCACATACGAACCCAATGACACTTGTGGCACTGCGTACCACCCTGTTCAAACCGCTAGCCCTGATTCAGCAACACAATACCATTTACACCAGCCAATCCAAACGATTCACAATGGCCCAACACACCATGACTTTGTACACCACACATGCCACTGGTTGGGCAAAACCAGTCTTTATACAGGAACACACACTGCAACTCCGAAAAGGCAGCCCCCCACCCCCACCCTAGAATTCTCAAATCTGTGGTAAGTCTTTAAGGAGCTGAAGTCATGTAGTGGTTACGCATTGAGTCAACAATCCACAAGGCCAATAGTTTGAGTCCCTCTGTGGGAGAAAGCTGGAATTTCCTACTCCCATAAAGAGGTACAGTCTTGGAAACTCACAGGGGCAGGTCTACCCTGCCCTATAGGGTCACTGTGAGTCAGAATTGACTTGGTGGCGGTGAGCTTCGTTTGGAGTTGGTGGTAAGTTGTTACTTCCCACCTCAACATTTCACATGGTATCAATGGCAAGCACATCCACATCAAAGCTCGCCAATTAATTCTAATAATAGATGCTGTGGTAATTATCACACTGAAGAAAAGGCAGGGGAACTGAATATGAATAAAGGTATGAAACCCCAAACCCAAACCCACTGCTATGAGTGGGTTTGAACTCGTAGCGACCCTATATAGGATTTCTGAGGCTGTTCATCTTTACAGGAGCAGAGACCTCCCTCTTTCTCCTGCAGAGGGGCTGGTGGATTCGAAGCTCTGGCCTTGTAGTTATACTCATGCACTGTCATCGAGTTGATGCAAACTCGTGGAAAACCTACAGGAGAAATAGCTATCCCTGTAGGTTTCCGAGATTGTAACTCTTGACAGGAGGCGAAAACCTCTTTTTTCTCTCATGTAGCCACTGGTAATTTCAAACTGCCAATCTTGAGGCTAGCAGCCCAAAGCAGACCCACTACTCCACCAAGGGTCCAGCCTTGAAGTTAGCAGTCCCAAAATAAAGAAATAACTGACTCCCTTTATAAACGTCTCTGTTCGGGAGGACCTGCAGCCCCCAGGCACAACACACGAATGCCCCAGAGAGATTCTGAAAACAGGAAACCCCACCTTAAAGTGGAATCGGTTGGAGGTCTGGTATTCCGCTGTGAGGAGGACGTTCTGGACGCTGCTTCCGAATGCGGATGGCGAGGGCAGCTTCCTCAGCTGAGCTGTGAACCCTAACGCACGGGAGAGGGGAATTTCCATAGCGGGCTCTGCAACTTTGCAGACAATCGCCATGGGAAAACGACGCTTTCTGGCAAAAGGGGGTTGGGAAAAGCCTTGATTTTGCAGAAAGGGAAGGGATAGATGGACACTCCCCTGACCACACAGTCCCCCTGGAACCATACCACCGGCCAGAGAGTGGCCTCAGCTTATCTGAAAACCCAAATGTCTCTTGTACAAAATCTGATTGAAAAATCCCCACAAAGCCCAGCCTGGACTCCTCCCACCCCTCAGCCTTCTGTGTGAGCCAGACCCCTGTGAATCACACCCTCAGGCTCTCAATTCACACTTTTTCTTCTCAGCTGTCTTCCTGGGATGGGACAGGGGCTCCTAGACTTGATACCGAGTCATTAGTTTGCCCTAAATCAGCTGAGCTTGGAGACCTCAAGGCGGTAGAGTTCATTAAGCCAAGAGCCACCGGGACCCAGGGAGACACCTCTTCTCTCATGCTAAGAACCTCCCTACATGGTAACCTCCTGGTATTCTCAGAATGTCCATTTTTATTCTATGCATTTCAGGGTGAGGGGGAAGACAGGGGTACCCTGTTCATGGGTAGGTTGATTCCATAGTATGTTGATAGAGTTGGCATTGAATCCTAATCGTGAAAATTGCTTTAGATTGAGATCCCTACTTTGGACATGCAATCGGGAGAGACCAGTCCCTGGAGAAGGACATCATGCTTGGTAAAGTAGAGGAGCAGCAATACATATAGGCCTTCAACAAGACCTATGCTTCCCAGGGGCTATGTTTTCCCAGAGGGCTCAACGATGACACCACTTGTGAGGGTCGTGCAGGACCTGACACAGTTTCATTCTGTTGACGTAAGGTCACTATGAGTCGGAGCCTCCTCTATGGCACCCAACAGCTATAGGTGGTGTCAACAGTGGATGAGGGGCTACTGACCCAGAGGTGGCAGAACCCACCCAGGGGTCCCATGGAAGAGGCCCCCTGACCTGCTCCCATGGCGCTTATGGCTGAGAAGCCCCCAGGGAGTGGGGGCTCTGCCAGAGGGACTCACAGCCCACTCAACACAACAGCATCAGAGTCAGAAACGGGAGTGGGCGGGATTTCCTGCCTTCAAATCCATCCTGATCAAAGTGGGAAGGCCAGGAACCAAAGAGTTCAGGTCAATGAATGGCCCGAGGTCCTGAAGCTGCTTAGGCAAATCCTGGAGCAAAGACAACCTGTGGCAGAGCCAGAGTCCACTCTTGCTGGACCCGGCTTCCAGCCATGCCCACCCTCTCACCTGCACCCACCACAGAGCGGCCAGGCTGAACAGCACTCCTCTCTCTGCTGGAGGCGCCAGCCTACTGGCTCCTGCATCCTAAACCATCCTGCCGCCTTACCTGCTGGCGTGTTTGCCACACTGCCCTCCACTTGATAGCCGTAACTCTTGGAGTAGTAGCACCTGGGCACGTTGAAGCTTCCCTGAGTCTCCCAGCAGCAGCTTCGCTGGTCACACAGGGTCTGAGACAGAGGAGAGAAGATCGTCAACAGAACCCCATCTATTGTAGACCACTGAACCCAACATGTCTCATTTGAGCTCCGGTTTCATTAGCTAGAGCTCATGGGCCATGTGAGGATGTTGAGGGTGAGAGAAACTGAACTTCACTCCACTCAATGGCAGACCTTTCATCCCAATTCCTTGAGCCAGTGTCCTCCCCACCACCTCCCTTCTGAGCAGGGGGTCCTCAGCTCACCCCTGACACCACCATCAGGCTGATGCACGAACACCTAGCTAACTGTGCTGGTCTACAATCCAACCTGCAGGGTGCAGCTTCACTTATATGGACATTGGCTTAAAAACAAAATGGCTGTCAACTTTATTGGGAGGCTTTAAAACCAAACTAAATTTGTTTATGCCTTATAAAGACATACATAGAAAATGCTATCTCCATTCTCCCTAAGGCAAAAAGCAACCTTTCCTTGACACCCACCTGGATTTTAATCCTTGCTGAGGATTAAAGTCGGGGGAAAATAAATTATGTACATTAATTGCCATTAAAGTCAACCCATCTAAATTTTTCTTAAACACAATTTTACTAATTAGAGTGAAATGAACAGACTGAAAAAGGGAAGGAGAATGGAGTTTATACGCTTGCAGACCCATCCAGAGATTCCATAGTTGAATCAAACAAAGGATGTTGGAGTTTCCACTTAAAAGACTATCATTATTAACGATGTATCGATCAAGGACAAGGGAGTGAGGTAAAGAGCCACTAAAATTCTCTTGAACTGTATAATTAAACCAATGTAATAAAAAGGTGGGTCTTCAAGTAAACATTAACCTTGTGCAGGAGATAAACCACCTAAATGGTGCCGCACGTGTGTGTCAGTGCAGGCCCGTGCGTGTGCTTTGCCGTGAAGCAAGCACAATTCCACAGGGCTTCCAGACAAAGACATACTAGGGAGAGTGGCCTCAAGATGCGTTTCCAGAAAGTATTTCATGAAAACCCCCCAGATGACGACCAGTGAATGCCCATTTCCTCTCTGAAGAGCTCCATCCCTGAGCTGCAGGGGATCTGAAAAGTATGTGATGCATTTGTTCCAGGAAACTAGATTCCAGATACAAACGCAGATACGTTTCTAAAGCACAGGCACATAGCAGAGACATCTCGGGTTTCAATTTGGGACTGCAGCAGTAAAGCAAAGTGGCGATGAAATGAGCCACACTGGTGTTTTGCTTTGCTTTGCTTCCCAGTGAGTGGTGAATTCATCTGCACACTGTACTCTATGGAGCACTCAATAGCAAGAATTGCCAAAATATGAATCAGAGAAAGAGAGCAGATGCCATTGAAAAAAGTGGTGCCGAGAGACTTGCTTGGTGCAGGTAAGGCCCGGCATTCTCAGTAAGGCCTGGCAAGATGAGAAAGGGAAGCGGGTAAGCCAGTGTCCAGCTTCTCTGTCTCCGTTTTATGTCAGGGGTGTGGCCTTTATCTTCTAAACTGTCAGAAGAATCTGCAGCTAAGGCTCAAACAGCGGGGCCAGGAAGCCTTGATTCCAGGGACAGGACTGGAATGGGGGAAACCTGTCCCATTTTCCAACAGCTTCAGGATGAAAAGCACTTGATGAGACAGGAATTTCAAATCCCTTGTAGTCACTGAAATGTCCCCTGGCTATTTCCATGGTGCATCAAGCTCGAGTGAGTGGAGGGATGAAGTGATGAGTCAAGTCACCAGAATCTCAGTGACATGAATTGTAGACGATTTCGTGGGATGCCCATCTTGAGTTGGTGTCCGGAAGTTACATTGGCCACTTCCTTCCATCTCAAGGTGGACGCTGTCAGCAATCACGTCTAGGCCAGCATGTCACGTCTGCACACCCAGGTCTCTATGGAGCCCAGGTGGCACCTGGTTAAGTGCTCTGTTGTTAACCAAATGGCTGGTAGTTAGAGCCCCACAACCACTCTGCAGGAGACCAATGCGACATATCAGTCTGCTTCCATAGAGAAACCCTATGGAGCAGTTCCACTCTGCTCTACAGGGTGGTTGTGAGCCAGAATTGACTGACCAGCAATGGGTGTGGGTCACCTCTGCAGTCCTATGACCCTGGCCTCTTTCCTCAAAATCAGATGGCAGTTGGTATGCAGAGAACAGGGGCTGGGACCTTAGAGACCACTAATCTGCACTATTTCAAAGCATTTCTAACTGCTTGTGTCTGAAACGTGTTCAGTGGCCACGTCTCAATTGGCAAATGCATCTATTGGCAAATGCATCTGGGTCCGTTGCCTTAGTCATAGATAAGGAAGTTGAGAATCTGCAAAGAAATGTTTCCTGATGACCTCTCCAAGTCTGAGTCCTTCAGAAGACAAACCTGGATCAGCACCTAGGGTTCTGGCCCCCTGTTACGACTTAATGGCACTGGGAGAATATATAATTTTATCTCAAAGAAATAGCTCATGTGGCAGTAGAGGCTGGAAAATCCCAAGTGTGTCCAGACATCATCCTGGAGACTTCTCCCGCCTCACATAGGGGCAGGGTCTGATAATCCCTATGCAAGTCAGCAAGTCCTATGGTAGGTTCACAGCTATGGAGGCTGATGAATCCCAAGGTTAGCAGTCAATAAAGTAGGCTGCTGGCTTAAGTCAGAAGTCAGGTAATAAGATCCAGACTGAGAAAAATGCCAGCAGAGAGCTTTTCCACAACATCCATGCACGCTTTTTTAACTGACTGGCTTCTTATAGCAGATCTCATCTTGGAGTTGATTACATCAGATATCATAGGAGGTGGCTACATCATTACACACTGCCAGACAACCTCTGAGAATCATGCATGACCTTGCCAAGTTGACAGACAATGTTAACGATCACACAGGATGGCAGGGGACCACTACATAATTAGGATCGGGAAGCTGTGGTCTAGTCTAGGCACAACTGGATAGGATCTCTAGTGCTCTAGGTTTTCAGGAGTTTGTGCCTGGCAACGACCTGCTCAGTCATCCACCAAGAAGACTAAGTCGTCCCAAGCCTGCCTACTCTCCCCAGCACTTACTGATTCATGGTAAGCTTCAACTATCATTGCTGCCTCCGGGATTTCATTATGAATACTCTTAATAAACACCAAAATCAAACCAAACTCACTCCCATAGAGTCAAAACCCAGTGTTATCAATATGGTAGTTCAATAAATAACCTGGTTTCTTTTCTTTTGAGGCGGTCCACACTATTCCACTCCTCCGAAGTCTCCTTTCAGCTCAGGCAGAAAGGAAACTGTGGGAGTTGATGGGCATTTCATGTCTCATTCATTTCTCTGTTCATTTACTCATTTCTACCTTTGCCTATGGGAAACATCCAAGGTAGTACATCTGATGTTCTTCCTTCTATATTCATGGCTACCTTCCCATCACCCTACTCCACCCCCAGGAAGGGTAATCCACTGGGCAAGATTTAGTATCTAACAGGAACCAGGAAAAAGATTGTTACTGAGAACATTGAGATGTATCAGCACTCCAACTCTCAGGAACATTACTCCTGATTACTGAGATTAAGAGAGAGAGATGGTCTATCTAGAAAAGATAGGCAGGAGGAGAAAACAATGTAACTGATAGTTCCTAGGGGACAACGGAGAGAAGGAGGTGGGGGGAAGGGAAGGAGGGTGCCAACAAACCCAGAGACAAGGGAACAACAAGTGATCTAAAATCAATGGCGAGGAGGGCGTAGGATGCCTGGTGGGGCTTCATCAAGTTCAGTGTGGCCAAGAAGAATTACTGAAACCCAAATGAAGATCGAACATGATAGTGGGACAGGAAAGTAAAAGGAAATAGAGGAAAGAACTAGGACGAAAAGGACATTTATAGAGGTCTAAATACAGGCATGTACATATGTGAATATATTTTTATATAATGATAGGGAAATAGACCTAAGTACATATATTTATATGTTAAGTGTTAAGGTAGCAGACGGACATTGGGTCTCTACTCAGGGACTCCCTCAACACAAGAACACTTTGTTCTAATAACCCGACATTCTGTGATGCTCACCTTCCTGAGAAGATCATTGAAGACAAAGCAGGTGCATAAGCAAATGTGGTGAAGAAAGCTGATGGTGCCTGGCTATCCAAAGACATAGTGTCTGGGATCTTAAAGGCTTGAAGATAAACAAGCGGCCATCTAGCTGAGAAGCAACAAAATCCACACGGAAGAAGCACACCAGCCTGTGTGATCATGAGGTGTCGATGGGATCAGGTATCAGGCATCAAAGACCCAGAGCAAAAAATTCTATCAGTTATATCAATGGGGAGGGCGGGATGGAGACAAAAAGCCCATCTGTAGACAACTGGATATCCCCTTACAGAAGGGTCACAAGGAAGAGACAAGCCAGTCAGAGTGCAGTACAGCACTGAGGAAACATACAACTTTCCTCTAGTTCAATGATTCTCAACCTTCCTAATGCCACGACCCTTTAATACAGTTCAATCCTTTAATACAGTTCCTTATGCTGTGATGACCTCTCAACCATAAAATTATTTTTGTTGCTACTTTATAACTGTAATTTTGCTACTGTTATGAGTTGGGCAACCCCTGTGAAAGGGTCGTTTGACCCCCAATGGGGTCGCGACCCATCGGTTGAGAACCACTGCTCTAGTTCTTTAATGCCCACCACCACCACTATCATGACCCCAATTCTATCTTACAAATCCGACTAAATCAGAGCATATACACAGTTACATTTAAGAGCTGGAAACACAGGGAATCCAGGACAGATAAACACCTTAGGACCAATACTGAGAGTAGCGATACCAGGAGAGTAAAGGGAAGGTGGGGGAGAAAGGGAGAACTGATCACAATGATCGACATATAACCCCCTCCCACGGGGACAAACAACAGAAAAGTGGGTGAAGGGAGACAACAGTCAGTGTAAGGCATGAAAAAATAATAATAATTTATAAATGATCAAGGGTTCATGAGGGAGGGAGAGGAGATGAGGAATGAGTTGATGCCAAGGGCTCAAGTAGAAAGAAAATGTTTGGAAAATGATGATGACAACAGATGTACAAAGGTGCTTGACACAGTGGATGGATACGAGCTATAAGAGCCCGCAATAAATTGATTTAAAAAGAGAGAAAGAAATACATGGAACGGCAGGTACCAGCCTCACCCTGAGCCCCCTGATCGGAGCCAGGGGACTGCCCTCAGAGAGTCATGTTTTGCTTTCCATTCAGATGTTTTTCTGAAAGTGAGCCATGCCTGTTGTGTGGACCATGCACCCTGTAATCAGATCGCCCCACTCGACTGTTATGGTGGTCAGGAAACACACGTCACAGCCAGCAGAAGTGCTGCCAATCGGTGCTATCTCTAATCTGCAGCTAATCACCTTCTCCCTTCCATTACCCAGCACCCGAGACTTTGTCCTTATTTCACATCATGTTTTTCATACTTTTTATTGTAGAGTCTAGATAACCTTTGGGACCTTAGAAAGTTGCAAGGAAAGCAAAGAGAGGGGGCAAGAAAGAGAAGCCGTGGTAGAGACGGAGAGAACTATAACTGGGAAAGGTGGCCAAATCAGATCAGACACTCTTGGGCATCGTTGTTGTTTTTGATCGGCGCCATCGAGATGGTTCTGACTCATCACCATCCAGGGACCACAGAAATAAACCCCGCCCAGCCCTACATGGTCCCCACAACCACCGCTGTGCTTGAGCCCATTGTTGCAGCTACTGCAGTTCATCTCATTGAGGGCCTTCCTCTTTTTGCTGCTCCTCTGCCACGTAGGAGCTCCTTCTCCCAGGACTGGTTTCTCTTGATCCAAAGTACATAAAGCAAAGTCTCACCATCCTCGCTCCTAGGGAGCCTTCTGACTGGACTCCTGCCAAGACAGTAAGTCTCAATAATTTCACAAGTCATCCTTGCTCATTGCTTACTTGAAATTCATACTCAACTAGGTGGCAGCACCCCGAAAGCCAGAGGAATTCCAGGGTCTTGCTCTCCCTCAACCACAGTCCTACACACATGGATGGAGGCGCTCTCCAGAGCCACCACTGGCTGCAGTGCCAACTCTGCAGACATTACGAGTAGAGAAACGCTGCCCAAGAGCACTGACTGCTAAACAAACAGCAGATGCACGCATGGCAAACCTTCGTTGGTGTCTGGTCAGGGATACAGTTGATCCGTTCCGATTCTTTTATCACGGGGCACGCTGCAGAGTCAGGAGGGACACTGGTTCCAGGATCTGGGGCTGTCACAGAAGCAAACGTAAAATGGCCGTCAGACAGGGCAAACCTCGCAGGCACGTCATAATCCAGAGCTCCGGACTCGCCCAAGGATGTCAACTCCACTGTGGAGGCAGCTGCACACCGGTGTCGTCAAGCGGACTTGTTCCGTTCAGGAGACCTGGCTTGTTCTTGCAGCTGGATTTGCCTCCGTGCATGCCTGGACCAGCCTGACTCCTCGGAGACAGTGCACGCAAGAGAAGGGTGTTGGACTCCACCAGTAGGTGGGAGTCAAGTGTCCTTCCTCGGGCCCAAAAACTACAGCCCAATGGTCAAAGCAAATGTGTGTATACATGTGTTTGTTTTAAATATTGGTGCATAGCTACATCATCTATTTGTGCTGCATCTGCAGCTGCTTACTGGATAAAGATGGCACTTTCTACTCCCATAAGAAGTCGCAGTCTCGGAAGCCCACAGGAAGCACTCCCCTGTCCTGCAGGGCCGCTAGGAGTCGGCTCGACGCTGTGGCACTGCGTTTGGGGTTTTTTGGTTCAGAGGTTGCTTTTGACTCTCAACAAGCAAAGCCAAGTGTCTGTGTGCCCACAAAGTCTAACATGCTTTCTCTCTCTCCTTTACAAAAAACAAACCCCAAACCACGCATGGAACGTTGGTCAAGTCCTGTGTTTCCAGTCCCGGCAGCCGCCACAGGACACGTTCGGTACCCAGCACACCTTCACGTAACTGCCTGACTCTCGTCACTCACCTCCACAGCTCACCCTTCACCTACGCTGCAGCAGGCCCGTCTTTCCATAAAAGCTATCACCCAAACCCAGATCGTGTCTCTTGCCAGGACTGAACAGCAAAAGACTAGAAATGAGTGTTTGGTAGTCAAATTAAATTTTGCTTTCAGCAAAATAACAATAAAGTTCCATAAAACCCCAAAACGTCCCATCTAGAAATGGGCCAGGAGGGTGGGAGAGCTCTGCTCTCAGATTTCCAATAGCCACGTCCTTTGAAAGGCACATTCATGACATTGCCAAATAAGGAGCGGGAATCTTCTTGAAGGCCTTCTAGAATGACTAGATAATGGGGATGCGACAAAGCCTCTGAGGGGCGCTGTTCGCATGAGGAGGATTTCCAAGTCAAAGGGGGCGGGCTGACTGAGCGCTCCACTTCCGTCTCATCTTTAAAATGGAAGCGTTTTAGGAGTTGAACAACCTTCCAGATAATCAGATCTCATTTCTCATGAAAAGCTGATGTTGCTGTGGCTGAGAGCGGCCAAGCGGGGGGGACTGGAACTCTTTGCTTCTAACCGACCTCTCATGCCTTCATTTCACAGGAAGCGGGCCCTGGCTGAGCCAGGGAAGGACGCAGCTCTGACTCTGAACAGTCCAAACTCCTTCTTGACTAGAACTGGTTTCGTAAACTTTTGTTCAAATGCAGTCGAGTTTTGTCAGGTTCTGTTTTGTTTTAAAGGACCACCCCGTGGCCTAGGAGACTAACTGGTTATGTTGGAATTTGGTAGCTCGTAGTGAGTTACGTGCTAGACCGCTAACTGCAAGGCCAGCAGTTTGAACCCTCTGACTGATCTGAGGGTGAAAGAGCAGACAGTAGCCTCTCATAAAGATTTCCAGTCTCGGGAAATCAAAGGGCAGCACTCTGGCCTACTCAGGTTCACCAAGAGCCAGAGTCACCACCATAGCAGTGGGTTTCGGTCTGTGTGGCTCAGCTTTCCTCTTTTGGTTGTAAATGCCTGTCTTTCATTGAAAGTCACTGTTTCACAATTAATAGAATTAAGAGTATTCAGCGAAATTTAGCCAGTATATTTCACACGCGCATGTGGAGTCCTGCCCTATGGTAATAGAATTTAGGCATGAAAATCTCTGAACTACATACCATGAATAGTGGTGCTGTCACCCCCGTTTAAATAGGTTCTACCCACACCCAAAGGACTCCAGGCAGCACAATGGGTTAAGCATTGAGCTGCTTCCGGAAAGTTCAATAGTGTGAACACACCGGGCCCACCACAGGAGAAAGATAAGACAGTTGACTTCCATAAAGATTCTCACCCTCAGAAACCTGCAAAGCAGCCCTACTCTGTCCTAGGGGACCCCTATGGGTTGGAATCAACTAGATGGTAGTGAGTTCTCTGGGCACCCATATATATACAATACACAACCCCACACCCAGGTGCAAGCTCACACACAGGCAATGACTGTGGAAGGATGACTTCCCTACCATTAATGAGGGCTTGGTTCTGGTAAGAAGGAGAGCTCTTTCTTACCTGTTGATTCTGAAGACTTTTGGGCTAAAAGCACAATCAGAGGAATGCAGATGATGAACATGACCAACAAAAGGACACTGAGAATAATCTCCAGCCTGGTAAACTTTTTTCTTGCCATCTATTAAAAAGAGAGAGAAAGGACAATTTTAGATTTGGGGCTTTATGTAATACTCAGATAAAGCTAGTAGAATACTTCATGGGCAATCTCACATGTGTATGCAAGTAGAAAGAACAGTCTAACCATACACTCCTCTGTGTACCCCTCGCCTAAGCCAGAACATCCTTAACTCATGGCCACTCTTGCTTTAGCTGCCCTACCCCCTGGTGTGGGTTATGAGTGGGACTGTTAACCTCAAGATCAACAGTTCGAAAGCACCAGCCACTCTGCAGGAGAGAGCTGAGGCTTTCCAGTCCCAGAAACACTGGCAGTCTCAGAAACCCACAGGGTAATTCTACCCTGTCCTAAGGTTGCTATGAGTCCTAATCAGCCCATAGGCAGTGAATCTGGGTTTTGAGTTTGACCCCCAGGTCACGCAGGACAGGGCAGTGTTCCATTCTGTTCTGTCGCACATATGGTTGCTATCAATTAGAGCCGAGTCAATAGCACCTAGCCACAACCCACAACCCCCTAGATTATTTGGAAGTAAATCTTATATCTTACTCTGAAAATACTTCAGTAGACTTTTCAAGAGCAAAGTAAGGTCACCCTCCCCAAATTACATGCTCATCACTCCAAAGGACTAAAGGATCACACCAACCACAGCCTCCGCTACGTGGAAACCAGAAGAAGTAGGTGGTGCCCAGCTACCCCCACCAGCCGGCCTCGCTGGAATCGCAGTAGGAGGTGCCAGATAGCATGGGAGAAAAGTGTAGAATAGATTTCAAATTAATTTAAAACAAAACAAAACAGATTTAACTGGTCTGATAGAAACTGTTGGGACCCCTAAGACTATGGTCCCTAGACATCCTCCTAACACAAAACCAAAGCTACTGAAGTCACCTTTTGGCCACTGGAAAGACTGAACGGGTCACTAATTTGCTTTATACACTTGCACCTAACCCCAATAAAGTACCCCGAAGACTATCAACACACCTAATACATTAGCAATAAGTGCTTCCATGCCATCCGAGATCTAGTCCGCGTTGACAGTCCCTGTACTGTTTCATAACCTTTCCCTCTTTGTTCTACTCCAGCAAACATTGAAGTAAGGTTTACATGTTGCCCTTGCACTGTGCCGGGGATGACGTGTGAAGCCAGTAGACTTCATTCTGTAGATTTCCCCACTGTATGGACTTTGTTGGTTGTAACCATAGTTGCCTTCCCACTCTTGTATTACTTCCTGTAAATTAAGTATGAGATCCAGAGGCTTGATGGGACTCAGGTTTGATTTTTCTGGCAAGAATGCTGCATGGACAGTGCAACGTGAGTAAAGAATGATAAAATCAGAATATCACTACCTCAAAACTTGATGTAATAATGGGTGTGGCCATTGCTCCCTTCATGTGATGTAAATAGCCATTGGGGAGCAATGGCCACACCCATTATTAAACCAAGTTTTGAGATAGTGATATTCTAGTTTCATCATTCTTTACTCATTCATTAGCGGGGAAAATCCTATGGAGAGAAATCTCCCTTCACCCATTATTAGGCTCAGAAGGGTACAGTGCATCTGGGAAAGGTAGGATCCATAGTTGACTCTTTTCTTAATTGGCTGTTGTGGTGAGGATGCTATAGTGTTCATTTGTAATTCATCGCAATCCATGTGATGGTAAAACTGCCCCCTAGGGTTTCCTATGGGAGGTGATTTTTATAGGACTTGATCATTAGGACTTTTCTCCAACAGAGCAACTGATGGGTTCAGGTCTCCAACATTGAAATCAGCAGCCCAACACTTTTGCCCCGCCTGGGCTCCTCTTCCTCTGTCTACTGATTTACAAGTGAAAGGCTGGTTTCCCTAGAATTCTCTAAAGAGGACCCCTGAGGTTTTTTTGTCCAAAATCTGCATGAACTCATGGATTCAAACACAATCTTACTGCATTCATCCATTGCAATTACTCATTTGGCTATTAAATCCCCTGTGGCCCCATCATTGGCCTGCAGAGCCTCTTACAGTTGATTTCAGAGTCCAGTTGGCTTGACCATAGTCATCTTTGATGGTGCCCTTGCTAACAGGATGGCCCAGGCTCATCTCATACGTTTCTTTCCTGGGTCTGGAATCAGCCATTTCTCTAAGGAGCCCAGGTCCTTTCTAGGAGCCATACTACGTAGAACCCATAACCATAATGAGAAAACGTAACAGAATTCCAAAGCTGATAAAACCTCAAGGATCGTCTTAGCCAATGGTGATCTTAGGGGTCCTCAAACAGACTGCGAGGGACTGCGATTGCAGTGTGCAGAAAGCACCCCGGTTGTTATGAGATGGAACGGACTCAATGGCATTATGCTTAGGTTTTACCGATTCTTGACAGTTGCCATCAAGTGGTTTCTGACCCCTGGTTACAGATTAGAATTCCCCCATGGGGTTTCATTGGCCAAAATCTTAACAGAAGCAGCCTACCACAGCTTTTCTTCTGTGATTCCCACTGGGTGGGCTCAAATTGCCAACATTTAGGTTAGCAGTTAAGCACAAACCATGTTTACCCCTTGGGTATCAAGCATTTGCTAGGAATTAATGACAGGGACAAGATAGGAACTTCTGTTTGCTAAGGGAATAAACCTTCTGTTCGCTAAGGATGAACATTCTGTGGCCTAAGGGAGTGAGCATTTTGTCTGCTCAGAGAAGGAACACAGATCCTAAGATACCAAACCTGGCCAATGTCTCAACCTGGAAGTCAGGCTGGGAGGTAAGCTCTTACCCCGAGATATCTTATCCAGAGTTCTAGCCTGGGAAAAGTTCATCTTAAGGTGGAACTGGAATCATCCTGACACAGAAATGTAATCCTGAGATAAATTAGAACGAAACCTGCAGGAGACCCAGGGACGAACTTGGCAACTAATTAGAAAGTGGCTTGACCATTGACAGAGCTGAAGCCCCCACCCCTTTGACTGTGTCCTTAAAAACAAGAAATGTTCCCCTAGACAGGGTCTTCTCCCAGCTCTTCACTCTAAACCACAAAGCTTATCTATGCCTAAGGTGCCCTCACCTGGAGAGAGGGACCTGCTTCTCTCCTCTGTGGTTGGATGCATGAATAAAACTTTTGCTTGACTCTTTCTGCTGCTGGGTAAGCTGCCCTGCATCTTACACTCCACACGGAGAGGAAGGACTAGTTAATACTCTTGTGGAGAACAACCCAGCACCGGCAGCAAGACCTGGCCATCCTCAGCAGGACTGAATGTCATCAGTAGAATCTTTTGTAATGAAATTCAAATAAGATGTTCCCCTTCCACACCTATTGAATCAGAAAAGGTAGAACGACAGCCACAAGGGGGAGACCATCCACAAGCTGGATCGACATGGTGGCTGCAGCAATGGGCACCAACAGAACAACCCCTGTGAGGACTGTGCAGGACCAAGTGTGCTCTCCTTCTGTTGCCATCCGGTCACTGTCAGTGAGAACCAACTGATTGCACCGAACAACAGCATAAAATATGGTAGGGTATATGCCTTGCTCAAATTGTGCAACTAAGGGAAGGTTGTCCTCCCTGGCTAGTGTACCCATCCGGGTGACTTTGGTGTGTACCACATGAATGGAACATTCTGGAAGAGCCCACCACAACCTCAGTCTCCAGTTATTGGTATCAACCTATTCCTGTCTTGAACCCCTAGTGGCTTCTTTCTACCATTGTCTCCTCCATCACATTTTATGTGATGGGTTATAGTCCTGGGTATAAAGGATTGGGTGCCTAACAACTATGTGTGGCAAGCTACCTTAGGGATGACTGTCCTCGGTTTAGCTCCCACTGACTTTCAAGCCCTCCCAAAAGGAATCTCCAACTGGACAGGGTCCTCTGGGAACCTAAAGGAGTCTCGTGCCTCTCAGTCCTGCGTCCACCAAGTTAATCATAGTACATCTGCAATGCATCAGGAGGCCTGTGTGGTCCCGAATTAGAGAACACTGAAGTCAAACATAGGAAGCACATCTTGTCCAGAGGCCAAGTGTACGTAGGTAATATCTTAAGCTAAAATTTGGCTCTTAGAGATTCCCAGATTCCAAAATCCATATCACCATCCTTTGTGTTTCCAAAGCCACCATGAGGCTCTGAGGTGCCTTCTCGCATGTGGGGAAGGAGAAGGCACCCACACAATGCTCCAGCGTCTCCTTGTGGGGAACCCCACCAAGAGATGAGCTCACTGCTCAGATGCAGGGATATACTCACATCCTGGCCCTGCCACTCGGATGGGGAATCTGTCCATGAACGGAGCTGGAGTGCGGGGACATAGCAAATGTTCAAAGAAAGACATTAAATGCCAGCGAGATAAGGAAGGTCCATTTAGGGCTATGATGGATGGGGGGGAAACAGAGCATATGGGAAGTATTGCAGGTAAAACTGATAGTCTGCTCTGCAAACCTGCTCCTGATTCACAATAAAGCAGTTTTTAAAAAGGAAGTAAAATGGCACACATCGAAGGGCGGGGCCTGTGATTGACAGGCAAGAGACAAGGACTGAAGGGAAGAAGGATTGACAACTGCTCGAGCAGGAACCATAGAGTATGTCCCTGGCCCCCATCTCTATTGGAACCTCTGGGAAGGACCCCGGTCTTCAACCATGTTTAAGGAGTTTTCTTATCCATCCACCAACGTATCCATCCCCCACACACAGAGAAGTGAGGGCCGGTTTCCAGCCTACAGTCCTTTCTGGACATCTCGCTCAGCGTCCTTTGTCTGGCATCACTTGGGTCCTAGACTCAATTGTGTCTTCCCTCCCATCCCTCACCTGTGATATGAACATTCATCATTCCGTTTACCTGATTCCCAGAGCTTCCCTTCAATCACTCCTTTGCCTTGTGACCCTACCGTTGCCATGAATTAAAAAGCTTATCCTGTTCAGGCGAACATTCTTGCATCATCTCTCAAACATTAACTGACACATACCCTGTGGGTACTTCTGCCACATTCCAACCATTTCTTTTAGGTAATGTTTACTTTTCCAAGACATAAGATGCATAAGGGGACAAC